GTAGCTCAGAGAGCATGGCTTGGCTTCACAATTTTCTATGGCATGATTACAGTTGTTTGAAAGTCCCTTGGTATGTACATAGGACAGATGAACTGCCGCACATTTTCACATCCTATTTTAAACATTTAAAAAAATGGAAGATAATAAATTACCAATTAAAATGGTCTTAAGCTATGCCAGAGGAGGTTTGGGTTAAATATTAGGAAGAAATTTTTTACAGAGAGAGTAATCAGACATTGGAATGGGCTGCCCAGGGAGGTAGTGGATCCACTGTCCCTGGAGGATTTAAGATGAGACTGGATGTGGCACTGTGTCATGGTCTAGTAACCATGGCAGTGGTGGATCAAGGGGTTGCACTTGATGATCTAGAAGGTCTTTTCCAACCCAGTTGATTCTGTGATTCTGTGACTACAATATACAACTGAAATACTCCAAAACAGATTTGGTAGAGTCAGGGCTACTTTTTATATAGGGCATTAAGTAGATCCCCCTAGGTGTGTTGAGAGATTGAAAATGTCTAGTCTTTAAAAAGAAATGGATTAACTCAGCTATACTGTCAAGTGCCTAATGGTTTGGCAGACTGATGATGCTCAGACATAAGGTAATTGCCTCCTTCTCTCCTTTTTTTTTTTTTTTTTTTTTTAAATGCATATCATGTACCAGTAATAATCTATCCTTTTCTCCCAGACTTAATGTTACCAGGTACAAGGCCGGAAGGGACCTTTAAAGGTCATTTAGTCCCCTGCCATGGGCAAAAATCTTTTCCGTTAGATTAGGTTCCTCAAAGCCCCATCCAACTTGGCCTTGAATACTTCCAAGGATGGGGCATCCCCAGCTACTCTGGTCGATCTATTCCAGTGTCTTACCGTTCTCATTGTAAACATTTTCTTCTTTATGTTCAATGTAAACCTACCCTTTTCAGCTTAAACCTACTGTTCCTTGTCCTGTCAGGACCTCTGTCTTTCTTATTAGTCCCCCTTATATACTGAAAGGTTGCCATAAGTTGTTCCCAGAGCCTTCTCCTCTACAGGCTGATCAACTCCAACTCTCTCAGACTGTCTTCATAGGAGAGATGTTCCATCCCATTGACCGTTTTCATGGCCCTCCTCCGAACCTGCTCTAACAGATCCATGTCTTTCTTGTACTGTGGGCAACAGAGCTGGACACAGTGATCCAGGTGGTGTCTCAGAAGAGTTTAGTATAGGGGGAGAATCACTCTCTTCTTTCTGCTGCTCACACTTCTTTTTATGCAGCCCAGGATATAATTGGCTTTTGGGGCTGTAAGCGCACATTGCTGGCATATGTTTAATTTTTGTTCACTGGTACCCACAAGTCCTCTGTAGGGTTGCTCTCAATCCATTCATCCCTCAGTCTGTACTGATATTGAGGATTGCTCTGACCAAGGTGCAGGAGCCTGCACTTGACCTTATTGAACTTCATGAGGTTCACGTGGGTTCAGTGGTGTCCAGGTCCCTCTAGACAACATCTGTTTCTTCCAGTAAATCAAGTGCATCAGTCAGCTTGGTGTCATCTGCAAACTTGTTGAGAGTGTATTCAGTCTTACTGTCTAGTAAAGTGGGTGGCTCAATGTTATATTGGAAATCAGATATTAAATACTATTGATCCCAGTACCACTTGTTACTGATTTCCAATATGACACTGAGCCACCCACTTCATTCTCTGGGTAAAGCTATCCAGCCACTTCCTTATCCATCTAACCCCCTCCTCCAATTTAGTAGGCAGAATGTTGTGGGGGACCACATCACAAGCCTTACAGAAGTCTAGATAGATTAGATCCATAGTTCTTCCCCTGTCTACTGATGCAGTCACTCCATTGTAGAAGGTCACTAGATTAGTCAGGTGACTAATAATCCATAGCAGAATATGGAACATGCACTGAGCATATCCACATAGCTGTAATCCCTCTATAGAAGAAATGGGGAGAAACTGAGCCTCCAGGTGGAGCCCTATCCAGGTGAAGTGCTTTGCTTCTTTCCAGAGCCCTTAAAAAGTTTCATTGGTATTACCTCTCAGGGACTTTAATACAAAAAACCACCACATTTACATCATAGTTGTTACCCTGGATAATCCTTGTTCCTACTGGAATCCTCATTCTCTGTTTCAGATTAGTGCTGTTAAGCAGTCCTTTTGTCACAATTGTTTTCACCAAAAAAGACTTAATTATTATCTTTTGAAAAGATATCTTTGAAAAGACTTATTCTCACCCTCAGAACAGATGTTTCACCTCCTGCATCAATTGCTCATTTATTGGTTTATGGCTTAAGTTTAGAATCAAAAATCAATGTGTTCTTTCTGAATCTATATTAAGATTAACCACTTTCATGATATTAGACTTTAATTTCCTGTCCTCTTTGTCCACCACAACTCCTGAACCCCATGTAATTTGAACTATATTCCAGTGCCTGAGAAGACACAGTCACTTTTTTCCCTCATCCACTTCTAAACTTCCCTGACATTCTTGAAAGTTCAAGGAGACACTTTCAGTTGTGGTGTTCCATCTGTCTGAAACTTATTTCCTCTTCTCCCTAAGCCATTGAATCATTTCTTTAAACCTCACCTTAAAATCTCCCTGTTCTCTTTAACCTTTAATTCACTTCCAGTGGAAAATATTTTTATGATATCCTTTATGAAGCATGTTCAGTAAAAAGGAATTTTTCTGTAGTCTTGTTGAAGCAAGCTAGACTTGAGGTACTAATGTGACTGGATTAAGGGTTCTGCAGAGTCACTCAAGATAGATTGACCCTTGCAGAATCTATTGAACTCTGAGTATTTATACACACTCTCCTGAAAACCTCATAGCTAGACCCTTGCAGGTTTATAGGTTGTTGTCTTTCTTGTTGCCTTTGAACTCATAACTTTATTCTTGATATCAGATGGCACCACTGATTTATTCTGGGCCCAACACAACTAAATAAAAGGGTGCAGTTCCCTTTTCTCCCCTTCTCTTCCCTGACCAAAGAGAACCGCAATAAAAATGAAAAAAAATTAAAGTACTCCTCTGTTTATCCAACTAAATAAAGGATAAAAATTTCATCAGTGTTTTCTTATCTAAGCAGTCTGTGATAAATGACAGATTCAAGTGTCTATTATAAACTCCGAGCAAGAAAAACAATTTGGTTCTATCCAATTCACCAAAAGGATGCAGAGAGGCAAACGCACAAAGCCAGATGGGTTACACAGTGAAGGTGAGTTCTGGGAAAGATTTATATGAAAATTAATAGAACAGTGTTGCACAAACCACATCACCCAGAAACTTACGCAAATGATCTCAATTTATAAGGTTGGTATTCCTCCTCATTCACAATGCACTTATCATAGTAGTAGGCCATTTAAATCTAACTTGTTTAGTTCAGCTATGCATTTTATATTCATGATCAGTTTTATGCCATGGAATAGTCTTGTGATGGAACATTTAACCCTTTTTCTTTAACTGATATTTGAATTTTGGATATTTATTTTCAAGCTTTTTGTACTCGTCAAAGTACCAGAAATGGAAGAAAACTCTAGTTCACATTCACATGACTCTAGTGTTGTAACTTTAAGGAAATGCAAAATATTTAAGGCTTGCAATATATTTTTCAATATTGATGGTAAATTTTTTGGAATACATTAAATTTTGTGCTTGCATAAAGACATTGCACATGTGGAAGCACATTTTCTGCATATAGGAGATTGCAGAGATAGAAACACAGACAAAAATATTAATGTACTTCTCTTAGCATCAAAGTAATGCAATATGGATGGTAGCAGAGAATACAAGTGAAATCTTTCTATATTCTGAGTAACCACTGGTATATGAGGGAACAGATAAGAAGAAACAGACTTTGCAGAAGTAGGTGCAGATTCAGTGGAGTTATTGGAGACAAGGGGCAATGGCTTTAAACTGAAAGAGAATAGGTTTAGATTAGATACTAGGAAAAATTCTTTACTGTAGTCTGGTGAGAACCTGAAACATGTTGCCCGAAGAAGTGGTGAATGCCTCATTCCTGGAAGTGTTTAAGATGAGGTTGGATGGGGCTTAGAGCAACTTGGTCTAGTGGCAGGCGTCCCTGCTGGGCTGGAACCAGACAATCTTTAAGCTCCCTTTCAACCCAAATCATTCTATTGTTCTAAGATTTCCTGATTTTCATCTGACATGAAAATATGGTTGTGTATGGGAAAATCTTTTCAACTCTTGTCTGTCTCTGAAATGTATACAACCTTTAAGTGAATTAATAGTTGATTTTGACAGTAATATTGTTATGCAAATCTATTTCTAACAGAAGGTGTTCTGAATGATGGCTTTAAGAGTTGCTGTTATTCTTTCTTTATAGAACTACAAATGGCAAACCCCCCACAAAGTCAGAGAATGAAATGAGGATTAAATTAATACTGCATTGTGCCCGAGTACAGCCATACTAAGTCTTTGTATGACAGGTAGCTGAATAAGGAAAGAAATGGATTAAAAATATTAATTAAGTTCCAAATTCTTACTTTTATACTGGAGACCTAAGTTCATTACTTCTTACCGTACCATCACATTCATTTTCAGGTTGGGCTATAACTTCTAGGAGGCATATAGATAACAGATAGGCACTCTAGCAACAATGGTTAATAAAAATAATGAGTAACTATAATAAATCATGGCTCTTTTGAGGAGGTCCAATGTATCTAGGAAAGTTATGGCTAGCATTTACTCTAGCTCTAAATTCCTCCAATAGTGAGGATGCTGTAATTTCTTAAACTGATTCTACTTCTCGAAAGTTTGTATTGTCATGCAGTTAAGGATCATACTGACTTTCAGCTTTTGTAGGTAGTTACCAGTTGTGTTGCACGTGTCCCAAAAGCATAATAAGTTAATATAAAATGTTACAGAAGAAAATTAATCCAAGATAAGATTTCTATTTGCTTTATGAGCAATACAATTTGGAGCGCTGTTTTATTTGTTTGTTTGTTTTATACATGCATATCAGAATAAGCAAATGAAATTCAGTACTTACTCCTGTTATGTAACGAGGTCTATACTGGATGGTTCCAAATAAGCCAAGTATGACTACAATAATATGTATAAAATTTGCCAGGATAGGTGCCCACTGATAACCAAGGAAGTCAAATATCTGCCTCTCGAGCACAGAAACCTATGATTAAAAATAAAAGCATAAATAGATTAGAACAAACCAGAAAACTATGAATATGAGTGTATTTCCCCTTCCCATACCCAAGATAATTATCCTGAGTTAAAAAATAGTTGTCAGTCATAAAATGAAATGAGTTTACAATGTTTTACCTTCTTGTTTTAATGAAAGCTGCGTTTCTCACTGTTTACGAAGTTATATTCAGTTAGCTAAAATATTCTCATGGACAATTCTACCAAGGTACTATACTGTTCACTAGGATGGTATGTTTGCAGGAGGAGAAACACAAATCACTTTGTTATATACAACAGCAAATGCTATAATGTTCTAGGGTATCGGTGCTGAAAATAAGTGACAGGCTTATGACATCTCAGCTACATTGTTTGCACTTACAACACCATCCTTTAGCCTAGTCCGGTCTCTTTACTTCCACCTTTCCTTGCATTTTGATTTTTTCCTCTTCCCTCTATCCCAGCTATTCTGTCAGTAACCAAATGAACACAACTTTTTGACCTGGATCTCCTGATAATGACTCTAGTTTACCTCCTTCCACGGTCACAAACATCAGCTGAAGTATAAGCTGTTCCCCAAGATTCTAGATAAATAATTTAAAAAATTACTTAAGGGACAACCTCGGGCTGATGACTACTGTTTTCAAGCAATACCATTACAAACAGTAGTAAATGAGTAGTAAATGAGAACTGTTCACCACTGTTCTTGCAACAATATAGTTATGGGAGAATTTTTCAATTTTCATGCCACAGTCCACTACCGCAGCAACACTTTCATCTCAAAATTAAATAAGAAAACTTTCTATTAAAAAGACAGCCTACATTTACACCAGCATTGCAAATGTAAAGACTGTTAATTATATAGTATGTACTGGCACATGTTGAACTTTAAAAGAAAGACTGTCAAAATAATTCTGGGGAAGTTTGTCAGCCATGTAATTTCAAATTTGAGTGTTCAGGTTTCATGTTAAACATTGAATTTCTTTCTACAACAAAGACTCCTTTCACACAATGCATCCCACTTATAACCAGTCTTGGTATTTCACCTACCATTTTATTTTACATATTTACTGACAGAAACAGATTCTGTTCCTACCTCATCCAAAATCTTTATGAACTGATTTTTGCTATCCTACCACTCTCTGCAGCAGAGGAACATCATAGAAGATTTCCCAGAATACTAAGACATGCCTAACGGTGACAATGTGGTGAAGAAATAAAAGGAAGATCAAGCTGTATTAGAAACCTCATGAAAACTCAAACTGCCAGTGCTTCTAAGTTTATCATTAAGAAATATTTCCTTGACTACAGATATATATATATAAAAAGGCCAACATGTGGCATAAAGCAGTATTATGTAGGTCAGTATGAAGTCTGTTAAGCATATTAGCAAAAGACCTGTTTCACCATAAGTGCTGTTAAACAGGTAACAAAGGGAAAATGCTCACTCTGAGCACAGAGCTCTTATTTTCATCAGCTAAACAAAGAGGAAATGAGAATAGCAAAGCAGTAGCAAAGAGTCTAGACTGTACAAGCTTCTAGTGTAATAACAGTAGAGATTCAGCAAGAAAAAACAATACATGGGAAGATGCAAATCATTAAAACAGCAGGAGATCATACAGTTAAGTATCCTAATTATAGAGGAAAATTACAGCATGCTAGTTAATTATATGAAAAGTAGAAAAACTCATATCCCTGCTACAACCTTTAGGTTAAAAGGAAACTGCAGTATCATGTATCAACATTTTGGTTTGGTTTGTTTTGCTTGGTGAAAGGTGAAAGATGCAGTTCCATCAAAACTTGCTTAAGGGATGTTGGATAAATGGATATTCTGTAAGAATCTTTTATTTCTACAAATCAATGTGCCTTTTTTTTTTTTTTTGGTGACTAGTAATTTCTTTAGTACTGATTAGATTTTCTCATTTCACTCCAAAGAATCAGCTGTGTGTGGGAATGCTGGATATGTGAAATGGCAGCATTCTGGTAGGCTGTCCACAGATGAAATGCTGTGGAAATGCAGTTGCTCTTCTGTAGAAGATCAGACTACTGCAGCAAGATACATCGTGGATTTTTCAAATAGAAAATATAGGACAGATCTTTATTCCCACTTCCCGAAGAGATGAAGGTGTGAAGAAAATAAAACCAACAAAAACAATGCACAAACAAACATAAAAATAATACAAACTTTCTACATGAGTTACTTAAAAAAAATTCATTTGGTCTGTGTTTCTAAAAAGCAGAAAAGTGAAACGTAGGAAAAAGTAGTGACAAAAGTTATTAAAAACAGTATTATGTAGCTTCCTCCTCTTCCATAGATGTCAGAATCATAAGGGATTTCCTTACATAGCAAGAGAAAATATAGACCTGATTTTGAAAGCTCTGCATTCCTTTACTTCAGAAACTTAAAATTTTTGATTAAAAAAAAACTTCAATTCTTTTTTCAAATCATACCCACCAGCTTCAAATGTTTAATGATGTTTCAATGATACTACAGAGAGAAAGGAAGGAAGTAACAAAGTAATACTAATTTTTAAAGTCAAAGAATAGATATAGAATTGTCTGTTTTCTTTCTTCTTCCTCAGGTTGTCCGTATTGGTATCTCTATCACTGACGTGGACAGTGGGATTTCCTACACTGTCACCAAGCTGTGTGGTGCGGTTGACACAATGGAGGGAAAGGATGTCATCCAGAGGGACCTTGACAGGTTTGAGAGGTGTGTCTCTGCAAACCTCAGAAAGTTCAACAAGGCCAAGTGCAAGGTGCTGCACCTGGACTGGGGCAGTCGCAAGCAGAAATACAGGCTGGGCAGAGAATGGATTGAGAGCAGCCCTGGGTAAATGGACTTGGGAATGTTTGGGGACAAGAAGCTCAACGTGACCTGGCAATGCGCACTTGCAGCCCAGAAAGCCAACTGTATCCTGGGCTGTATCAAAAGAAGCATGACCAGTTGGTAGGTCAAGGGAGGTGATTCCTCCCCTCTACTCTGCTCTTGTGAGATCCCAATTGGAATACTGCATCTGGCTCTGTGGTCCTCAGCACAAAAAAGATATTGAAGGCCACTAAGTTGATCAGAGGGCTGGAGCACCTCTCCTGTGAAGACAGGTTGTGAGAGTTGAGGCTGTTCTGCCTGGAGAAAAGAAGGCTTCAGGGATACCTTACAGCAGCCTTCCAGTACCTAAAGAGGGATTACAAGAAGCCTAGTGAGGGACTTTTTGAAAGGGCATATAATGACAGGACAAGGGGAAATGGTCTTAAGCTGAAGGCAGGTAGGTTGAGATTATACATTAGGAAGAAATTCTTTACTGTGAGGGTGGTGAGGCACTGGAACAGATTGCCCAGAGAGGTTGTGGACCATCCATCCCCACAGGTCTTCTAGGCTGGGTTGGATGAGGCTCTGAGCAACCTGGCCTAGTGCAAGGTGTTCCACCCTGATAGCGGTGTTGGAGCTAGATAATCTTTAAGGTCCCTTCCAACCCAAACTACTCTATGATTCCATGATTCTTTTGGAAACAAGAGTTTAAAATAAGAATGGGAAAGAGGAAAAATGGATGAAAAAGTATAGTACGACTAGAAAAGAAAAATTTGTTTTAATTCAGCTCCATTTTAATAATGCAGTGAACCCAAAATGTAATTATGGACAGTCAGTTCCTAATGTTAGAAAATAAACACACAAAACATTGTCTTCTTAGGCTCCCAAATAAATAAAATATCATAGATTATTATATGTATTCACTGATAAAATTATATAATTTATTTAAAGCGAATCATTTTACTAATGCATTATTTTTTCCCAAACTTCCGCTAAATGTTTTAAAAATAAATACAAAGTAAAGTCAACTCATATACTGTCAAGTTGGAATAGCTGAAACTATTTCCAAATTCTTGTCAGAGGCTGGTTGTTAATAGCTTAACAGTGTTACTGACTTTGAGGGATCTAAGAATTGAATTTCCAGTGGAAAATGAAAACCATTTGGAGATGATTCTTTAAGTATAGGATTGGACTAGAATTCCTGACAGGAACTACAATGGAGAAATCAGTCAAAAGATGATTTATAATATAAACTCCAAAATGGAAAATGATTAAGTGTCTTTGCTCAGAAAGGTCCTTGAGAAAAACTCAACCATAATACAGAATCTAAACTCTGCACTGATATAAATTACCGTGCATGCGGGTGTACACACACAAGTGAGTCTGTACAGCTCCAGCCAGCCATGGCCCTTGGGCAGTAAACATTGCACAGAGGCACTCAGCATGCTGGGGCTTGAGGCAGGGTCCTACTGAACTGATGGACTCACAGCTGAGTGATGGTAACAGGCTCTCAGTTCACTCTAAAGGAAGAAAAGAGTATTATCTTAAATTGCATTGTAGGAGAATTAAACAACTGTGGTTTATATCATTGACTGGTGCAGGCTAAGAATGAGATAAAGAAATTAAGCTCTAACATTAACTCATTAGGTCCCCTCAGCAAAACTGTGTTGTATCAGATGCCCACTGCATCTAACAATTTGCTTGTGTTTTTAAGTTAGTTTTTAAGTTTTTTAATGACTTCCAGCTCTTGGTTCTATGGCATAGAAAGTTAAAAAGTACCAAATAAACACAAGTATTTTTGGCCTTTGGCTTATGAAAGATTTCTAATGCTAAAGTCTGCCTGCATCACATACAATGTCTCCAGATAACCCTCCACCAGCACTTCCATCATTTTGAGGCAGAATGCATATATTTGGTCCATTCCTTAGAGAGGTTAATTTAATTTTTCATCAAAATTTCAGATAGTATCCTAAGATAGAGGGCCCAGTTACTCAACAAATTCTCCACAGTCACCCAGTAGAAAAACAGATTAACATTTTGAAAGTCAAATGTATACAAAATACACATACACATCTGCAGGTGTGCATGTGAGTCCAGTTGTTTACTGCTAGACAGCAGGAGAAAAAATACCTGATTTTTTTTTTTTGTAAGAAGAAAGGTAAAACTAAAATGAAGTTCTGTGA